CGCGGCGCGTTCAGATGCATGTGAAATGAGCTGCACCTGTCCAGGTGGAACGCAGAAACGCACGGCGGCGTTCGGGCCGGGCAGAAAAAACAGGGGTGGATTCAGAAATGTTCTAGAAAAGAAAAACAAACTTTCTGAGTTTGAAAAGTTTAAAATTTGCTAGAACTTTTTTTTTTGGATTAATCTCAGGAAATTTCTGGAAAACAAAGAAAAAAGCTTTGAGTTTGAAAAGACAAGAAATTTCCATGAAATACGCAAAAGTTGAGATTAATCTCATTTTCTGGAAGTAAGAAATTAGTTTGGAAAATCAAAAATTTGCTAAAGGAACTAAGAAATTTTTAGATTAAACTCAAACAATTCCTAAAAAAATAAGATTTGCTAGAAAAACCTCGCTTTTCAAAACATTTGAAATTTTTCTGAGTTCCTGAATCAAATGATATTTTAATGACCTTTGCAAAACATCTTGACATCCCAATTAAATATTTCAGCTTTTTAATTCAGATTTTTGGGAGAAAATATGCAAATACTTTGCAGGTTTAACTTGAGATGCTAACAGCGCAAGCTAACGTCAAAATAATGAAAACTTCTGTTTTCGGTAAATATGGGAGGAATAAGCTGAGCCATGTCAGAATATTCCTCCAAAATGGAGCCGACAGAATCAGAAATTAACATGAAAAGCAGCAAAGAGACAAAACAAGCAACATTTGCTCTGCCAGCAATGTTTTGATGCACATTGCCACCATATACTGGAATGGACTGATGCATGTCTGCCGATTCTCCTATAAAAGTTATTTTACAAAGAAAGTTTGTCCTCAAAATTTGAGTTTTCTGCACGAATAACAAACGTCTGTTTAAGGGCAAGACGACACAAAAACCCTGAATTAAAGTTTTAGGTTTTTTACAATGACTATTTTAGGTCGGAAATGGATTTTTTGCAGCATCCTCTGAAAATATAGCTTACAAAAGATTATAAGATGACTTTTTTCAAAGTTAATTTAACATTTGTGGTTGTAAACAAGTTTTATTTACGTGAAAAAAAGCTATTTGTATTGCTAATGTCAGAAGGTTTTGTCCATTCATCTTTGCAAAATCATGTCAGATAGGATGGAGGTAAACCTAATGAAGACAAGTTATGAAGAAAAATTAAGGTATGAAAACAACTAATTGTTTAATTTGTTGTGTTAATTTATGTTTTTCCACAAGCAGATTGAGAATGAATGAGTAGAAATGACCACATTAACTTTATTCCCCATCAATACGATTGAGTCTAATTCTTACTGTGTGATCAAAAGTCATAAAATGATACAGTCTGTGCTCTTTTCAGAGATAACTCAAAACATTTCTGAAGTGAAATAACAGTAACTTTTTTTTATTGATCGTCTGAATGCCTCTCAGCGCTTCCATTAAATAGGAAGCGGTTCCTCTGGGCTTTCCACCCCCTAATGCAGAGACTTCTGGGACCAGCAGGAAACTTAGAGGAAAAACAAAAGCTGAGTCACTTGCTTTATTCCTCTGGGACTACTTAAAGTTATTTTCAGCTATAAATTTCCTCAAACTGCAGGAACCTGCTGTTGAATTCCTGAGGGATTGTGGAAACGTGTTAGATGCTATTTCAACTATAAGATGGGCTTTTACAGCAGATTTTTGAGAATGACTTGTCATAAATGACTGGAAGGGATGTGATTTAAATTTAAGAGCTCTCAGGATGGAAATGTATTTCTTGACAAATACTTCAGGTCAATAAATGGATTTTTACATGTGAGACTGTGAATAAAAGGTATTTACCAGCTTTCAGTCGTCTCCTGATTATGAGTTTTGCCACATATAAACGTTTCACACAACCTGAAACGTTCACTTTACTAATGACTTTCAGTTAATCAATAGGGTTTCCAATACACCATCAATCAGATTTAGGTAAAAAAAATTACCATTTTGTTTTTATTTTGCCATTTAGATGAAGATTTGTGCATCAAATCGTTGCCCTGCTGCATATCAAAACGTGTAAATACTTTTATTTATTTGCTTCCATCTTATTCTGGCGCTCAACGCCTTAATTTAGCATTAGATATGATCAACATCCTGTTTGAGTTTGATGCTTTTATTTTGAAGGGGAAACATCTGGCTTAACGGTTATTTTTTCTTTCATGTTTATCTCCCCGGTTTTTTGGTGAAATTGAGGTTTGACACCATCTGCAACACAATGCACAAAGTTTCTACTTACAAAAATGAGTTATTTGCCAATAAGTGAATGTTTTTTAGTGTGTGGAAAAGGAGCCCTTTCAAAAACCTTTGTAATAAACTGTTGCCTAGCAACCCAAGCAAAGCCCAGCCAGTTACCTATCTTGTTGCTCGGTAACGAGATAGGCTGATGTTTGTATGCGCTGTACAATGGCTGCTGGAATAGACAAGCCTTTAGCTGCTGACTTACCACCCAGAAACCACTTGTTGGATTCTTGTTGGTTGTGCAGGAGGCTCCACTTCTGATTCTCAAAGATGTGCGGTTGGATAATTGTGCTTTTGACATTACAGTGAAAAAAAACAAGGATAAAACACACAAACGGGAGAAATCTGTACATTTTCACCCCAATGTGTCTGGGTCAAATTGGGCAGCCTTTAAATGTTTGAGTCCAACTTGTTTTCTTCAGCAGTCTCCAGGTTTGACATTGGCCGCTGCTCTTCGTGAAGCTTTAGCCCGTAGCGCAGTGCTGATAAACAGGATCTGCTGCTGAAAATGAACTGCATCCATCAACCCACTATTACCTGAGGTTAACTGCTGAAGCATTACCCACCAGGGTCCCTTTTCTCTTTTGATCAATTCTCTCCATACAGACCTCCACACACCCCTCCGGGCAGAACGCCGTCACCGCCGAGGACTTAGTCACCCTTTAACGCGCACTCTCGCAAACAGAGAGTAAAGAAATGAAATGTCAGACCTAAAGGACAAAACAAAACCAAACAGGAAGCAGTTGCGGTTACAAAACAGTCGCCGGTCAGAAGGGAGTTTATTTGGGTGTTGCCGTCCTGAATCCGTGTGTTTGTGTTCACCCGCCTCCCCCTTCAATAAGAGCTTGTCATAATGGGGCAGATAAAGTGCTGATATTCCTGCGGCCGACACCTCAGAGACGGATACAGATGGAGGAAGCGAGAAAGCAGCAGGAACTGGATGGATGAATAGACGGTTAGACGAATGGATGGACCGGAGTGTGTGTATATATACACAATTTGGCATGGCAACTTTAGATGAACCTATAATTTGTCAGAGAGCGAGTGGGTATGAAAGAAAGGGCAATATGGATGGGAAGTGGTGGATTTGCTGGCAGCAGTCTCTTAGTCAGCAGCGGCGCCACGAAACCTGATGAAAAATGCTGCTGTGACAGTGTGTGTGTGTGTGTGTGTGTGTGTGTGTGTGTGTGTGTGTGTGTGTGTGTGTGTGTGTGTGTGTGTGTGTGTGTGTGTGTGGTGTGTGTGTGTGTGTGTGTGTGTGTGTGTGTGTGTGTGTGTGTGTGTGTTGATCGACAAACTGCCACAGATTGAATCCTGAACAGAGAGACAAGTCTGACACCTAGAGGGAGGTTTCATTTTGTGTTTCAGTGATTTGTCCTCAAAACTGCATTTGCTAATCAAGTTTGAAAATTAGAGTCAGTGGAAAAAACAGGCTGGTTGCCCCACAGTGACAATCTGCATCGCAGTCAGAATTAAAAAAACAACACAAGACACGCTAGTCTGAGGAGAAAAACAAAAAAAAAAGCCACTGAATTCTGAGTAAATGGGTCAGAAATATGAGAATAAAGGGTTAAAATTCAAGTCTGAATTCTAAGATTCGAGTCCAAATTCTGAGAAAAAAGTATGAATTCTGAGACCCAAGTACAAAAGGTAAGATTCAAGTATAAATTTTCAGATATTACTCTGAAATTTAAATTTCAAGTTCAAATTCTTGGGAGGAAATAGGCCAATAATCTGAGAAAAACAGCCTGAAATCTGATATGCAAACACAAAATCTGATATTTAAATCTAAATTTCGAGATTCAAGTCCAAATTCTGGAAAAAAAGACCAAAATTCTGAGAAAGAAAAGTTTGAATTCTGAGATTCAAGTAGGACATCTAAGATTTCAGTGTGAATTCTGAGATTTTGGTCTGAAATTTAAAATTCAAGCCCAAATTCTGAGATTCAAGTCAGTACTCTATTGTGTGTTTTTCCAGTAACCTTTAATCCTCTTTCATACGTCATTTCTGGGAAAATAATTCTCAAACTTTGCAAAACTTGATTTCAATTCCCAAATATCTCATATCTCTGCAATTGCTTTCTCTAACATGCCCTGAAAAAGTTTGATAATTTGTCATAAAACCCATTTTTATTTGGGTTTTATGTGGTAGATCGCCACAAAGCAGCAGATAATTGGGATGTGGAAGTAAAACGAAAACTTTGTAGAAACTCCTTTTGCGTCTGGTTTGCAAGACTCACATTCAGAAACTGAATTTAATTCTGCTTTGCAAATTAGGCTCCAGATTTGATTGCAAACACGTAAAACTTCCCTTATTAACGTCTCTGCTGCTGTATGCAAATAAAATCCCTGTCCTGTTTCAAGAAGCTCTGACTCCGAGTTAATCCCCCAAAACAGCCGGAAATATGCGTGAATATGAGCTTTAACGGCACTCAGAGCGACTCGTCATGTTTGAACTGAAACCCATGTCTGCCAGAAAGTCCCAACATGTTCATTAAGATAATAGGAGCTGCTTAAACCAGCCTCACCAAAACCGCACTTCACAATGTCGCCAACAGTCAGCATAATGTCAGAAAACCACTAGAGGAGCTTGAAGATGATTAAGCTAAGATTTAATCATGATCAAACACAGGCTTCATGTTTTAATCAGCTACGATCAAAGAGGCTTTCTGAACCACAAGAGAGCTGCGCATCAAACGGAGCGACGGAGTCACATTAGTGACGATCAAACAATCCTCACCACCAACCCAGCTAGTGTAAAATTAAAGACACACCGAGGACTGTCTCTGAAAACACTTTATTAAGATTTTAGCCTCAGAGTTCAATGCAAACACTGAACATAATGAAACTTAAACAAAAATATGGCAGATCTGAACTTTGGCTGTTCATGTATAGATTATTTTTTGCTGCTTTGCTGGCTGAGTTCCTGCACTTCCTGCAGGGTTTTCAGGTTAAGATCAATAAAATCAATAACAAAACAACAAAACTCTTATCTACTCTTAAAGCTGGAGCTATTATGTTCATGCTTTCCTTCCTGTTTATTTAAAGCTCAGAAAAACTGTATTTGCTTCCACTAACACTCAAACAGGAAATATTTAGCTTCCACAAATATATTTAAAATAAAAAATGCAACCAATAAGTTACACATTAATTTAGAAAACATAGTTTCTTTTAAAAAATATGTTAAAAAGAAACTACAACAGCAAATTAGGGCCATTGTAGATAGAAGAAAGGAGTAAATTTCAGTTGAAAAACTCAGAGAACTTGAGATTAGTGTCAGAAATTAGAAAAACCTGGAAACTTCTGAGCTTGAAAAGTTGAAAATGTGTTAGAAAAAATATCTAAAATTTTTAGATTAAGCTCAGAAATGTTTCAGAAAAATACAGAAATTTGTGACATTCAAAAGCCAAAAAGTTTGAAACTAATTTTGAAATTCAGAAATTTCTTTTTCCAGAAAATTTGTAAGATTAATCTAAAAACTTCTGAGTTTATTTCTGGAAAGATTTAGACTTTTTAGACTTTTTTAGTAATAATAATAATAATAATAATAATAATTTCTGGCAAATTTTGGGCTTTTCCAGCGCAGATTCTTTCGTGTTTTTTCTAAATAATTTCTGAGATTAGTCCAAAAATTTCTGAGTTTTTCTGGCAGTGATTTCTATTGTTTTCCATCTACAATGACCCTGAAGTCATCGTAAAAAAAAGAAAAAAAAAACACCCATATCTGCTTTCAAATTATTGCAGAATTGAGAGGACAAGTATTATGAGACAGAGCATGAAAACTTCCTTGAATATAATAAAAATAATAATGCAATTTATCAGCTTCTGTTTATAGTTCAACATAAATGCCGACATTTGAGGTATTTTCCTTTCACTTTTTGTTGCATGAATCAAAAGCGGGGTTTTGGGAACAACCAACAGACCAACTAATTTTGGGAACTTTATATTTAGATCCCCACAAGTTTCAAACTTGAACTTTACATCATTTATGATATTGCAATAATTTCTTTATGAATTGATAAAGTTTTAAAAGCACGTCAACATTTGCTTTGCATTCATGTAGTGTTTTATCACAAGCCGCTTGAAGTAAACAATCCTCCAGCATTACTTCTTTAAAAACCGTATTTTTTACCATCACATATCCAGTTTCATATCGAACTAATCCAGATTGAAAATTCTGCAGCATTCCAACTCAAATGCCATAAATACTGCTTCAAAAGTTAAGAAAATTACCCAGAAACCACTTAATATCTTGCCAGGCCATGCAGATGCTCTGTCTGCACCGATGAAGATTCACTCACCTCAGCATTCTAAGCCCTTAAAGCAGCTGACATGGCAGAGAAGTTGGAATTATTTTCTTGGGATGTTGGGAGGACAATAACTTTTCATGTATATTTTAACTTTTTTCCTAAGATGGTCAAAGAATTATCAAATATATTTTTATAACGTTCACCCCAAATTTTCATGTTTTCTCCCCGTTTCCACCCTGCAGCAAAACAAAAAAGTCCTACAACCCAAACAAAAAACTCAAACTGGCATCTTTGGTGAGATTCATGTAACATTTGGCGAATGTTGAACCATTTCGTAGCAACATCTCCACTCTGTAAACAAACATGGCTGAATTTCTGTCACTGTGGAAAAAGGCCTAAAAGTGGATGGGAAATCAGACCCAGTCTGAATAAAAATACAGTTCGGTTCTGTTTTTTAAATATAGAAAACTAAGGCTGACAAAAGTTAAATTAAGCTCTGGTCAAATATTTTTGAGTTACTGGTACAACTTTATGTTTTTAATCAGGATGGAACACAAATTGGATGACTTCGGCAAACGTTAAGCTTCTGGGAAACCTCGATCTAAATCAAAGCCTGGGAACAACACTCAAACCCACGGGAGACAGAACTCAGACAGAATTAAAAAGCAGATTATACTAAAATTTAACCAAATCAAGTGAAGAACGCTTCACCTAAACCTGTTAAGTTAGAGGAAATAAATCATAAATCTGGAGTTATGGACTCAAATCTTACTAAAAATCACAGTTTTTAATAGTTCTGTTGTTCCACCCTGAAAGGTTAAATGGTGACTGTATGCAAACTTCTGAATGAAGTTGTTCAATAACAGACAAAGTAAATCTGTCTGAGGTAAAGGTCCACACCTCACTGCATTAGTAGGTCCAAAAGTGGCTCCAAATGACAACTAAAAGCCACTCAGAGGGTGAGAGAGCGTTTAAAAGCATAAGGAAGAACAGAAAATGGCCGCCGTTCTGAGTGAATTCAGACGATCTCTGTTGAACCTCGTTAATCCACCTTTAATGCAGGTTGATAAAAAGAGAAGAGAAAAACAAACCAGCTGCAGTCGCGTTCTGATGCGACTCTTTTGTCCCGGCTGGCCCGGCCCGTTCAACCGGCCAATCGGGTCGCTTCGTTCAAAGGAGCGAACCCGCCGCGTTGCACCGATCGGCTGCTTCGATGGACAGCGTCTCTGGATTAGAGTCGAGCAGCGAGCGGCTTCTGAGTCGGCAGCTTTCCTCCTAGGAAATAAAATAAATCTCCATGAAAATTTGTTTATAAATTTGTTTAAATTCTCAATGACAAATAAACGAATCTAGTTTCTTCTCACCCAGAGTGTCTTCTAGGGAGTTCACCATCACCGTGTTGACCTTCAGAGTTCCCTGATCCGCTCCTCTGGAGGAAACAAACAGCACTTATCTCACTACGGCCCAAAACTCAAGACTTTTAGAAGAATGACTGGTGAAAGACTTAATTAAAGGTGAACCATTATTCTTCCCTGAAGACGTTAGAAAAGGTCCACAAAACATGTTCATTACATATTTTACACAAAATCATTTTTAGATAAAGTTTCAACTTATTTTGAGTTCCTGTCAGATTGAGCTGCTTTAGGGTGCTGTCCCTTTAATGCAAATGAGCTTCTGCTGGCCACGCCCCCAACTCATTATTAATTAATATTTATATCATTTGTTCCGTTTTCCAATTTTCTCTTAATGATGTGAAGTGTGGCTATAATTTGATAAAAAATGCATAATTTTTCAAGGCAGTGTGTTTTGCCAACATCTTATCCTTATCAGTAATAAAAATAGAAAATAAAATGAATAAGTATTAATAATCATAACAAAAATAAAATAAATGAATCATTATAAATTAGAATAAAAATACATAAATAATTATGGTGAAAATAAATACAATTAAATAATTAAGTATAATAAAAATAAGATTAATAAATAAAAAGTATAAATATCAATTTAAAAGTACATTAAAAATTAAATGAAATCAGAATTATTTTGCACAATAAAAGTATCCTTAATAGTAATAATAAAAATAAAATGAATAAATAATAAAATAAAAATGAATAATTATAAAGAGCAATAAAAAATTTTGTAAAATAAAAAGTATAATTATAGTAAAAAATAAAATGAATCATTAAGTATAATAAAACATAATAAAATATAAACTAAATAAATATAAATAAAAACTTAAAATACAAATCATAGTGAATAAGAAAAAATGTAGTAATTTTTTTTTATCAAATAACATAATTAAGTATAATTTAAAAAATAATAATGTTTAAATAATCTAAAATCCTTGTTTTGGTCCAAAATACAGTAACGATACCAGTTTCCCTGTTTGTTCTTATGATCATAAGTCAGGTGCACCAATCCTTTTAAAAATGTTTATTATGACTTATTTAACCAGGAACCGACTAAACACTGGAAGAACAAAACCCAACTTACCCTCTGAGTTTCTCCACCGCTCCGAGTCTCAGTAAAGCTGCCAGAGCGTTTTTCTGGAGGTCCGATGACAAAACCTCGACATATTTTAACCCTCCTGGATGACGCAGACACACAAAAATAAATAAATAACATTTTTATGTCGCGAGAAATAATGTAAATAAAAACCGCTTTAAAAAAAACCTGTCAGAAGGTGTTTGATGAAGAACTTCCGGACAGCAGGAACAAACTGTTTCTCTGTCAGACTCTCAGTCGCCTCCTCACAGAGGAACCTGCACACCATCTGGGAGAAAAAATAAAAAAATAAAATAAAAAACAACACGACTATTAAAACCTTTTTCACACATCAGCTCAAACTGCGGCGGCTTCCTCATGCAGCATCACTCAGCAGGACGCCGACTGTGCAACAAGCTTTTTCACTACTGGGAAAACTCCAGAGTGGAGGGAGAGCTGCTTGTGAAAGGACAGAACATGATGTGAAAGAAACCTCAGGAGGGACTGGAGACACACTTCCTGTCTCCAGTATGAACTGGTTTTACTGGTGGATGAAGCTCCATGCTACTGCAGGAGCAGAGACACTGAAAAATCAAATATTATTAAACTGAATGCTTGAAATTCTGATGTTTTAATATGGATGGAAATGGTTGGAGGCTGATCAACAGTGCCCTCTAGTGGACGGAGAGGAAGGAAGAAAAAAGAGAGGAAAGGAAAGGAATGAAGGACTGAAAGAAGAAAGGATGATGGAAAGAAAAGAAGGTAGAATAGGAACAAACAACAGTGAGGAAGTATAGAAAGGATGGATCGGACTAAGAAGGAAGAAAGAAAATAATAGGAAGAAAGTAAGGAAGGATAAAAAGGAATAAAGGAAGGATAAATAGGAGGAAAGGATTCGAAGGAAGGATTAGACCACATTTGGATTAATATTTGGGAAAAAAGAGAGAGACGAAATCACACCGTAAATTTACGGGTCATCAAACAGTAACAATAATCCCAGCTAAATTCACCTGATATCCCTGCACAAACGGATCCAGAATGCTGGTGAGGAACGCCAGCGTCTGGTGGCCCCTTTCTGTGACCAGCACCTCCTGCTGGTGGATCTGAACAACTGCGCTTTTCACCAGCAGGTAGCAAGCTTCTTCAAAGTCCTGGAAAACAATCAAACATCAACAACAGTAAATATAAAAACATTGAAAACGTCTGGTCGGTGAATCGTTCACTCGGTTACAGATCTCCTCACCTGAACTTCGGCTCCGGGACGAAGGATGAACTCGTTAGAAAACATGTTCCTCAAGAAGCTGAAGGTGTTGAAGATCTCCTCTGGAGAACAGAACAGAAATAAAGAACAGGCTTGTAATATTTATTGAGAGAATAAAATATCTGGATTTATGCTAATAGCTAGTAGCTACTAGCCAGTAGTAGTACCAGTAGTACGGCTAATAGTACTAACAGCTAATGGCAGCTAAAGGCTACTAGTAGCTAAAGGCTACTAGTAGCTAAAGGCTACTAGTAGCTAAAGGGTTCTAGTAGCTAGATGCTACTAGTAGCTAGATGCTACTAGTAGCTAGAGGCTACTAGTAGCTAAAGGCTGAGAGCAGAAGAAGAAGAGTCATCCTCACGTTTCCTGCTGCCAGCGGCAGAGTGGACGGCAGAGGCCAGCAGCGCGGCCCGGATGAAGACGTGTAGCACCTGGTTCCTGTAGGAGGCGCAGGAGAGCACCACCACTGCCTTGCTCAAGAGCTCTTCCTCCGGCGTCATCGCAGGAGGAGGAAACCCTGATCCACTTCCTGTTTCTGAAAAACAACACCTCTGTTTGATTTTATGACTTTCCTCCAGAGCTTTGAACATCAAAAACTCTCCATGAAATGAAATGAAACCTGGTTCCAAGTTCAGCTGGACTCTCCCCTCCGAGACCCTCACCAGGCTGCGATGGAGGGAAAGGCTGCAGGAAACGACTCTGGAGGGAGGAACGTCGTCTGGAGAGGCAGACCGGTGAGGAAGAGGAGCAGAAACAATCTCATGAAACTGCATCAGCTTTACCACCTTAAAAAACAACAAGAAGAAACTGAACGAAAAACTAAAGTTTTAAGTACAAGTTGAAAAGAATATAGCCTCAACAGAAAAAGAACTACATGTTATTGACATTTTGCAGCAGAAAAAATAATTAAGAGCAAAATGTTGTGCCTTGCTAAAGCATTCAAACCCCTTCTTTGGATTTTACCAAGACTTTATAAACCAACACACAAGAGTTCAGAATCAAAACTGAAAGTTAGAAACCAGAGCTTTTACTGTTTCTGAAAAAAAAATATGATTTTAAAAATGTGCATTTGTACATTAGTCACTGTAGATAGAAAAGAGAACAAAATAAAAAAAAAAAACTCAGAAATTTTGAGACTAATTTCAGAAATTTTCTAGAATTTCTGTTCAAGTTTCAAACGTTGAAGATGTTCAAAGTTTTAAACTCAGAAATGTCTCCAAACTTCTAGCAAGCTTTCAACTACTCAAATTTTCAAGGAGCTATAAGATTAATCTACAAATTTCCGAGTTTTTGCCTGAAAGTTACTCTGCCACTTCCTTTTACAAAAACATCTATAATACCCACACTAAGCTGTTGTATAAAACAGTTTAGATGTTGTGACAAAAATGCATTAGGTTAATTTTTTATTATGTTTACTTTTTTTCTCATCTTCCCTCCAACTTTCTGGGGCCCCGTTAGCCTGCCACGGCGGCCCCCTTGAGGCCCTCGACCCCCACTTTGAGAATCTATTTTTTTCTCCACCTCCAGTAAAAATGTCTAATATTTCTCTGACTGCTTGTTATTTTTAATCTTTTCTCTTGTCCCGCATCTTTTATAAATAAAATGTTTTGTTAATATTTTTGTTGTTGTTGCTGTGCTGCCTCAGTGACCGGGCCGGTACCGTACCGGGTCGGTAGCGTACCGGGCCAGTGAAGGAAGGCTCCAAACTGGAGGGACAGATCCCGGAGCCAGACGGCTTGTTCAGTCAGGTCTTCCACCAGTACTCCCAGTTTGTTCCCAGCAGCCTGGTTCTGGAGCAGCAAGGCGGCCAGAAGGACCCAGGGCTTCAGAACCATGTTCTCCTCCTGGGATCGGACCAGCCTGAAGGCTGAGTCGTTCACAAAGTCCTGGATTCCCTCTGAGGGCTTCCTGGGGATGTGGCTGAAAAGAAAAACACACAAACAAACAGCTGAGTTAGATTTATCTGATCAATAACCAAAGATATTCTCAGTTTGATCAGTGATTATTACTGAGTATAATGTCAGAACATGGAGTTACTCAAAGTTCAAAAATAAACTTTAGATAAAGTTTAAATATGGGATGTGTAAAAATAAGAAACAAAAAAGAGGGAGGAATGAAAGGAAAGAGGGAAGGAACAAAGGAAAGAAAAATGAAAGCAAGGAGGGGAGGAGAGACGGAAGAAAGAAAGGAAGAAAATAAAGAAAGAATGAAGTAATGAAGGGAAGAAAAAAGGAAGAAGGAAAGCAGGAAGGTAGGAATATAGGATAAAAAGAAAGGAATGACAAGTTAAAATGAAGAATAAAAAGGGAGAAAAGACAGTAAAATGACTGAAGAAATGAACGAATTAAACGCATGAAACAAATGAACAAATGAATGGCGGTACCGCGGCGTCAGGTTGAACTGGGAGCGGTCCACTCTGCCCTCAGCCAGACTCCTGGCAGAGACCGGCTGGCCGAAGTAAACGTGGATGCTGCCGTAGTTTTCACTCAGGATCTTCCTGGCTTTCAACAAACCCTGCAGGAAGCAAACAGAATAAATGTAATGGGCCAGAGACCTATATGAACCTGTTCAACGAAGCATAATAGGTCACTTTTAGAAGTGACTTTAAACAGTGAGGTTTGGTGTTCAGGACTCACAGAAGTGGACTCTTTGGGCTTCGGGACGCCCAGCAGCTCTCTGGCGTAGAGCGCCTCCTCCAGGATCCGCTCGTAGCTGATGCTGACCGGCACCAGGCTGACGTCGAACACTTCCCCCTTCAGGAAGGGATCCAGCACGATGTTCAGCAGACCTGGGGCCCGACAAAATCCTCTCACCTGGCTCTTTATTCCATACATAAACTCAACCACGCTTCAAGGTAAGATTTCAAACATTTCCAGCACCACGTTGGAAATAAATATAAGACAAAACAGATTGTTTCAATTCACAGTTATCCGATATAATTTACTGCTGTTATTAATAATATCTTGTGATCTTATTTTACATTCCTCAGCTGGGACAAACTAAAACTAAAATATAATTACAAAACAGACAGGAGTTGTATTAATCTCCTGCAGCATAATTTACCTAACTTTGGAGTCAGGGATTTGGCTGTTCTGCTTCTTGTGCCCTCCAGAAAAAACTCAACAGGTGCAAAGCCACTCTGGAATTAGAAAACCAGTTTAGAAAAAGCTTAAAATGGAGTAAATGTTTAACAAAGATTTCCTGAGTGTGTGTGAAGCCTTTTCACCTTCAGCATGATCTTGACGTACTCGGAGAAAACAGCCCAGTAAAGTTTGTCTCCACCAAACGATCTCCGAATAAAGAAAGCTCCGGACATTCGCAGCATCTCCCCGATGATCTTCATTCCCATGAAGTCTGCAGAGAAATTCTAGAAAGTTAAAGCTGGACGATTCGGCTGAAAAATGTGTCACGATACAAGCATTTTCTATCAGTTGACACCGATTGAAAGGAAATATTGACTCACCCATGCCAGCTGCAATGACTGGTAGAGCTAAATCATAGGTGTAGAGGATGTAGGACATGAGGAGAAAGTCCATGTAGCTGCGGTGACTCGGTAGAAGAACCACCGGATGTTCCTGGATGGCCTGTTGCAGCTGAGAACGGATCAAAGTTAGCCATGTTTCCATCGTTCTGCGCCTCCCTGATGGGTCTACTCACTCTTTGGATGCCCTCCTCGTTGACACAGATGCTCCTGAACAGAGATTTAAAGATTTTGCTGAGTGTGAAAGCAAAGAAGCGGACCGTGCTAAGCTGCAAGCGGTGAGCCATCTCCTCCAAGATGGCCTCCGCCTCCGACTGGATCTCGTCTGTGGCCGTGCCCGTCTGCTTGGAAATCTAAAAGAGAAATCACAAAAATCTGACAAAGCCATTGTTTGTTAGTTCAAAGACAATAATTGTCGCCATGACATCTTTTAGCTGTTCAATATTACGTCCATATTGGACGTAATAGAGGGCACATCCACACACACATGAAATATGGAGTAATGCTGTGATTCTGAACATTTTTGTCGCCATCCTGACTTCACCTGGTTGATGACATAAAGCAGCTGGTCAGACTGCAGCACCATGGTCTTGAGTTCGCTGGCTGTGCAAGGAGTCAGTCCTTTATAGAGAGTGGGAGTGTAACACCTGAGGGCATATCTCAGGTCGCTGGTGTTCCTCCTCTCCTCAAGGATGTCCTCAAAGTCATCTCTCTTCTTCAGCATTGGCTCTCTATGCTGTTGAAATAATGAACAACTCAATTACTTGGCATGAAAATACCCAAAGATTTGTATTCCCTAAAATAACAAAACATTTTGCTCCGACTAACTGAGCATGATCAGTTTATATTAGGATCCAAACAATTAATCAAATTAATTATTATTGAAATAATTGTTAACTAAGTTAGTGATTGATTAATCATTAACTGGAATATATGCACTCAAAAAAGGCCATTTGCTGAACAAAACTGCATTGCACTAATTAATCTAAAACTGTATAAAATACATATAAATATTGCCCTTAGAATGAAAACGCCTTTATCTGATGTACGTTTTACTGAAAACTCCTCTAGTGGTATTCAAATTCTCCAAATGAATGCTGTCTTTGCATTTTAGGCAATAAAATCTTAATTTATTTTATTTAAAAAAATAATTAAAAAATTTATTTGTATTTTGTAATCCATTTCTATTAAAAAAAGACAGAAGTTATTAAAAAGAAAAATCTGCTAATAATTTGCAGATATGCAGTGGCGATTAATCGTCAGAATGACCGATTGCTATAATACTTGTAGATTGCAACCCTCGCCAAGAATATAATAAAGCTAGAAATCAAACTACTTTTTTAAAGTATATTTTGCTTAGGATCACAGCTTTTCAAACTGCTTTATAGTGCATTAATATACATTAATTTTATGTTGTAAAAATGTTGTAAACATCTTAATTTCTAGTTTAAGAACACAATCCTGGTCAAATCTGAATTCTTACAGAACTGGTTTTAATTTATGAATAAATTTGTTGCACAAACTTAATTATGTACAGAATCAACAGGGCAAAAATGGCAAATTACATTAAATTATTTATAGTAAAACTAAAGTAAATTATCCAGATTGTCTTGTCGATTAAAGATAATTAAATCGACTAAGGTGTTCAAAAAAAACAAATGAATCAAAAACACAAATAAAGACACAGAAACATGGATGTTTTCGTCGAAATTAGCAACAGACAGCAGGAACCGGCCGTTGCTCGTCTATAACATTATCTAAAGCATAATATAAGTTTTTAAATTCCGAGTGAAGAAAACCCTCATAGCTCCGAGTTTCTCTGTCAAACCTAAAAGCAGCGATGTAAAGATAAAAATGCAATAATTCACCGTTTGAATGAAATGTCAGGTGTTCAGCAACAGAAGGAACAGCTAGCGCAACTAGCTGACAAACACAACATGCATACCGTATAAACCGCTTTGGACGCCATTTTGTGTTACAAACCAACCGGCTGCATTCAATGGGAATGTTTTCTGGTTTATATGTTGTTGTCTTGTCTTTCTCTTGAACTCTTTTTGACACTGATAGCAGCTGCAGAGCTTCACATGGGCGTGAGCATAGTGGAAAATGACGTTTCAGGGGCAACTTTTGACTTCCGGCTTCTTCACCTACGGTAGCTGGAAAGGGCCATTCCGCTCCGCCAGCGTATTCCGCGTTGTGTTATCACGTGTGTTGTTATTCATAAAATAAGTGAGCCACACATTTTGTGTTGTTGTTTTTTATTTCTTGAGTTCACCATCTGAAAATGAGTTCAGAGTTTGATGAGGACGGTTTGTTTCTGGAGCGGGTTCTGGATTCACTTTATGAGTTTGGTAAGCTTTATAAGCTAATGCTAGCTCTGTTAGCTCTCCTGTTTTATAAAACAGCAACAGAAAGGTCAGGAATGCTTCGTTTTTATCTCATCTTGTATTTCAACTTGTCAAACTAGCCGAAACCGACTGATGAAAAAAGCAAGTAGTAACTTGATCATTTCATTTGTAAAGCGTTTTCATGCAAAGGGATGGACACAGAATGAAACATTGCAGATTAAAAACAGATAAAACGCCTGGAAGGCGATAAAACCAGTACAGAGGGAACAAGTGGGTCTTTAATTTACCTTTCAGATCATTCACATAAGCATTTATTTTTTATTATTCACCTTCATTAAAAACTCATTGTTTTATTAACCAAAAAAGATAAATTACACATTCAATTTACAAATATTTATTGTTATTAATAATGTTTTGTTTGTTTTGCCTCTTAATGTCACGTGAGTTGCATAATGAGGCTTTTTTGACAAAGGATAAAATTTCATGTTTACACCATCATAAATTCTGCAAATGTTGATTAATGTCCTAATAAAGTAAATTAAGTTACGTTTTCAATAAATGAAGAAATAGTGCGTTCATATGTTCTGGGGCTTTAGTTAGATCTGCTTCATGCTCATTGTTTTGATTTTTGTTTCAGGATCAGACACAAAAAAGAAGCTCAAAACCCAAAAGAAGAAAAAGCGAAAACGATGTGAAGAAGAAGAAGAAAAACTTCATGCAGTGAATGAAACCTGTAGCGACTATGAAGACAGCAGAAATGTTGAGCTTCAGCAACCAAACACTGAACTGAAAGGTTAAAATTCATTATTTATCACTGAACAGGGATTAAATTTATTTATCTTAAATTATGTCCTTAAGTATGGAACTAAATTAGAGCCATCAAGTTTGTTCAAAAGAAAAAAATAATTAAACCAAAAAATTATTTTGAAACTGAAAAAAAAGTCTAAACCACTTTTCAGATTCAAGGTATGTTTTTAGTTTCAAAATTAATTTTCTGTTAACATTTATCTTTTTTCTTTACTTTTGAAGAAACTTTATTATCTCCATATAAATGAGTTTCAGTTTGCTGTTAAATTTATACCATAGCCGTCTTCAAAAGGGCTAAAACGAAATCTTTAATTCATCAGAAACTCTCTAGTTATCTTCACATTCCTTATCAGTGTCTGTAGGTTATTTTTCTTATTTTTTTAATTCTAATTCATCAGATTCAAACGTCCAGCTGCAGAACAATGTGGAGGTTGTGACATTTCAGGATCCCAGGAAGAAAATTAAAACCCAACAGTCTCCAGTCTCAACCAGGATCCCAGTTAAATCACCACAGGTTGGTCTAAATAAAATGTTTACCTAAGCTGTATCTGGTTTAAAACAATGTTTTTTTACTGCTACAAATTTCTGACTCTTAAGTGTATTTCTTACAATGAAAACTTTACTTTGTCACTGAATGAACTCCATACAACCTCTTATTTTCCCTGTTTCTCTGTCATCTCTTATTTCCATCACTTTCCTTCTTCTCTTGTCTTCATCGCCTTCGGGCGTCGCGCTCGTCCCGCCCAGGACTCTCGGCAACCAGAGCAGAAACAAATGAACCAGGAAGAAGAGCTCAGTTTGGAAAAGGTGACGTTATTTAATTAATTTTACTGGGATCTCGACTGAGTTTATTCTCGACTGCGTGTTGGGACCATTCTAGACAGAAAAAAAGAAGGGGGACTGAATTTCAACCAAAAAAATCAAGAAATTCTGATATTGAGCTCAAGCATTTTCTAAAAAAAAAAAAAAAAGAACTTGGACATTTCTGAGTTTGTCAAAAATTAGCAAGAAACCTTAAATTTCTAGAGGGAAAAAAACAAGGACATTTCTGAGCTCCAAAAACTGAAAATTTGCCAACAAATAATATATGTATGAATATATAAAAAACTGGAAGTTTCTGACTTTGAAAAATTGAAAGTTTGTTAGAACAAACCTGAGAAATTGGAAGAAAATCTGTTTCTTTAGAAAAGACAAGGAATTTTCTCAGCTTCAAAAGTCAATAATTTGCCCAAAAAAATTCGGAAATTTTGAGATTTTCAGAAGTTTTATAGAAAAAAATGGAAATTTCTAATTTCAAAAATTTTCTAGGAAGAAACTTGTACGACGACATACTAATGCCATTATAGATAGAAAAAAGGAGTGTGTTTCCACCAAAACACTCAGAAATTTTAAGATTCTTCTCTAAAATTTTCTAACAAAAAATATTTCTGAGCTCTAAAAGTAAAAAGAAATAGCAAGAAAAAGACATTTTCTATAAAAACTTGAACTTTTAACTTTTAAAACTCAGAAAATTTCCAAAAGTTGAAAATTTGTTACTTTTGAAATTCTGATATTTTCAGTTTTTTTCTAGTAACTTTTCAAGCTGAAAAATGTCCTAGTTTTTCAAGAACATTTCTGAGTCTTTTTAGGAAATTTACTCCTCACTTTTCTTTTGTCTAAAATGTTAATAACACGATGTCATATTTTTGTGCGGCTTGCTACATTTCATATTTGTAATTTTAAACTCTGTGACGTCTTCCTGGTGGGTCTCAGGCTCGGCTGGAGGTCCATCGGTTTGGGATATCAGGCTACAGGAAGGAGCAGCAGCGCGTTTTTGAGCAGGACAGAGCCATAATGCTGGGAGCCAGAGTAAGACGTTTATGGCCATCTACGGATTTATTGCTTATTTTTTGTCAAGATAATCCAAAAAAAATGTCACACAAACATGACAATGCAAAAAAAAAGAAATTAAAGATAATTTATTTTACTATGAGGGAAACTATTCAAACCATTCTGACCCAGTGTAAAAAGCTACATCATTATTAACAGCTAAGTTTAACGTCATCCACTTTATCCATGGAACATTTAAATGGAGCCTGTCTGTCAGCAGGAAGTAGGCAAAACAAACTGAGAAAATATGGAACAGAAATGTCAGTCTTTTCTAGAAAATTTCTAAAATTAATTTCAACATTTCTGAGGTTAAAACGTTATAAATCTGCTTGGGGAAAAAATTAATTTTGAAATAATTACAGAACTTTTATGGAGAAAACTGTAAAGTTCAGAGTTTCAAAAGACAAAAATCTTTTACCTTTGAAACTCAGAAATTTCAACGTTTTTTCCAAATAATCAGACATTTAAGTTTTATTTAGAATATTTCTGAGATTTATCTAAAACATTTTATTCCTCTTTTTTTAATCTACAATGGCCTTGAACTGATTTGCATAATATCAGAAACATTCTAATGAGACAAAAAATCTGAAACTAGGCAAATACCATTTCACAGTATTGCATATTACTGGCCAACATCTTGATTCACAGCTTTAATTCCTTTCTAATTTTGTGACTGAAGCCTCCAAAGAAGGAGTACGTGAACTACAAGGTGCTGCAGGAACAAATCAAAGACAAGAAGCAGAAGCAAAGCGAGGCACTTCAGCCGGTAAGGCCTGCGGGAGTAATAATATGTCACAACAATCAAATTCTGCATATTGTAACATATTTACTTTGTAGGACAAGAAGAAAAAGAAGAAGAGTAATCAAAGGTGAGTGACACCATTTGGTCAGATAGAGGTAAAAATATTGCAAACGAATTCAAATGTTATAATGGAAAATGTCTGATGCAATAGAAAGTATTTATATTTTCATAACCATACTTTTTCACATTCTCCTTGGTTTTGTAGTAAATACTGAAACATCTATTGACTGATTTTAATTCAAAAGTACCAAAATCTGCTGTCAATCAATATATTAAACATAGCTAAATGCACAAAAGTGTGACCCAAATCCTGTTTTTATATCTGACTTCCACACAAAACAATTTGCAAAATGAATGTCTTTTTTTTATTAATTGTTTTATTAATGTACAAGATCCTATGTAATTATTGGGAATATAATAATTTAAACAAGCATTCTAACAAAATGTCTGGCTACTTTGTTTATTTTAATTATTGCATGCTTAGTTTTATTGCTTAACAGGTAAAATTGGATTTTAAATTGTTTTAGAAATTAATTTTTTTGGCCTGCAAGTGATTGACTTTAAAATTTTTGGCCAATGTGACAAAAACTTTGGACAAATTGCTTTAAGTCCTTTTCACAGCAGTTTCAAATGTTGTCATTGGACTGATGCAGACTATTCTGCAGACGTTCAGTTGTCTTCTTGTGTATTTTTCCTCAGAGACAAAAAGAAACAACCAGCCTCTGGTTCTGGTTCTGGTCAGGTGGGTCAGTTCAAGAACGGCATGCTGATCCTCAGTTCGAAGGAGATCCAGAAAATCAAAGGCAAAAGGTGAAAAGGTAAGCAGAGTGTTTCAGGGTGTTTTTTGCATCCAGAACATGACAATGTTATGCAGAATTAACATTTTTCCATGTTTTTGTTTTTCCATTTGAGTCTCAACTGTTTCTGAAAACAAACCAAGTGCTTAAATAAACCATCTGTCTGGTTTTTGGCAATAAGTTCAGATTTTTTAGTGTCTGCAGAAGCAGCTGTTTCAAAAACCTCCCGAATGTAGAGTCACAAATCAGCAGGCAGTGACCTTTCACCTCGTGACCCCAGCAGAACTCAGCCTGTAACCTAGCAACCGAAGCTGGTCACCTCAAATACGCAGAACTGATGAGACTAAAATCTCATTTGTTTTTTAAGAATGACTGTGCAAAAATGTAAGGAGCAGGTTTTTGCCCATATACCCATTCTGATCTGTTCCAGGACGCATAATGAGGCACCTTCAAGTGAAAAAGCAGGAACTTTCCTTTTCCACAGATATTGAACTTTCAAGTCCACTTAGAAACAAAATAAGTTGAAGTAAAACATTTTTTATGTTTAAAATTTCTGCTTTCAGGTGTGATTAATCCAATGGAGCAGGACGGAAACGGCAGCAGACTGGAGGAGGGAGTCAGAGAAACGATCCAGACTCCCTGATAAGACACTGACCTGCAGCAATAGCTGGAATGATTCAAGAGTCAGACATCTTGAGGAGGGAATCGTGGCCGGACGCAAACATGCCAGCACAAAGAGACTTGGGCAGATTCATTTCAGACCCCACTTTATTTATTTCCCTTCTTATAAAGTACGCAAAAAGGAGACAAAGCTGTTTCTTGTATTTTTCATGTTTAACTTTTAAAAATTATGGAGTCGAGTCTGTTTTCATCATTTACAAACAATGTAGTCGTACAAAACATTTACATTGGCAGCAGGGGACAACTGGAGGACAAAATTGAGGTAATAAAAAAGAAAAAGTCACGCATTTTCTTTGATGAATAAATATATATACACAGCAAGAGACTGTCGAAGCAAAAGCAGTGTTTCTAAAGCCTTAACAGGCTTCAGCTGTAAACACTTGATGATTTGAAAGTTGATGGTAATGAAAAAACACAGTTGGTCGGGTTGTTTGGGCTGGTTGAGGTCACAGTTACTTTTCTCAAAGCAGCTTCTTGGTTTGATTTTTGAATTTCAAAATGAGGAGCATGAGAGACGATGAGGATTCAGGCTAAAACCTGAATGGATTAATATTAACGTTAATTACCATCAGTAATTAGCAAATCTATGTTATCAGCAGCATTATGACACGTTTGGTCACTCAGGAGACCAAACGATCAAACATCAGTGTGACAGCATATTGGGCCATTGTAAACAGAAAAAAAGTGAATTTCCAATCACAACAACAAAAACATTGTGATATTAATCTTTTCTAGAAAAAAAAACCCGAGTATGAAAAGTCAAAACTTTTCAGAAAAACTCAAAGTATCGAGAAAAAATACTTGAAATATTTGCTCCAACCCCCCCTACAAATTTTAGATTAATCTCAGAAATTTTCAAGAAAAAACTTGGAAAGTTCTAGTTTGAAAAGTTTAAAAAAGACTTTTACATTTTTGAGAAAAATCTAAAGTAAAATATATGCAAGAAAAAAATCTGAAATTTTGAGATTCGTCTCAAACATTTTCTAGAAGGAATGTTTTCAACAACAAAACCTCTTTAAAATTTTCTAGAAAAATTCTGATAATTTAGATTAATCTCAGGAATTTTCTGGAAAAAACTTGGAAAGTTCTAGTTTGAAAAGTTTAAAAATTGCTATAAAACCTTAGAAATTTTGGTATTAATCTCAAAGTTTCTAGATCAAAATGGAAATATAAGTTTTTTGCTAGCAAATTTCAACTTTTCAAACTCACAAAATTTCAGATTTTTTTCTTGTAAATTTTCAACTCAGGAATTTCCTTGTTTTTTCTCTAGAAAATTTCAGATATTTTGGCAGAAATTTAGTCCCTATGTTCTATCTACAGTGGCCCTATGCTGTCGTCCATAACTAATTTGATATCTGCACGTTTGAAATTCAGAAAGATACTTTCCAATTTTTCCAGCAACATAAGTTAAATCTAAGAAAGAAGTGACATTCATAGGTGGGTATCAGGTAAAGGGACATGCTAAACAAAACAACACTTAAACGGGAGAGTCTGCATGAATCAAATCACTAGATTCTTGTTTTCTGTCACAACATTTTTGGTTGAAGAAAATATGGAGTTAGAGTACCATAAACAAAACCTGGCGCTCAGAAAGAAAGGTTTTCTTTTTATACAATGGATGTAATGTTCAACTACTGGGCTGAAATCTATTTCTGGTGAGAGTAAATTCAGCCACCAGGAAGGTTTTTGCTCTGGAGTGGGAGGTGAAAGGAGGGTCAGAGCTGTGCAGCCAAGCTGATGAAAATAAAACCCTGAGTTGGAAACTGGTTGGAGCAAATCAGGACACAAGTCGCCTTCAGCTGATGCTCACATATTTGACACTTTTCAAAAGTCTCTTACATCCTGACCTCTTTGACATGCTGAAAATGCTAAATTATAAAATCAAATGCATACGTTTTAATGTCAATTCAAATGTAAATGAAACTAAAATACTCCTTTTGTTTGTTGCCCACAGCAACCGAATAACACAATGTTACAGGTAGATTTTTTCCTGTGAGCTGCAAACAATAACATAAGACAGTGGAGTTATGTTGATGTTCAACAACTAAAAATGTTGAAGGTTTTTGTCAATATTAGCTCATGTAACTAATTGCCTACATTAGCTGCTTGATGCTAACAAGCTAGCGGCTATTGGTACCAAACCCTGCTGCCTACAGTGATATTATGGGCTAAAAATACACTTAAGACAAACACAGTGAGAAAAATGTGAAATATTTAGGCAGAAATTTTGTTTTAGAAATATATAATATAGGTTTTGGACATTTTACTGCCAGTAATGTTAGCAGCCTAATGCCAGCAACCTGCCTAGCGACAAATGTACTGTGCATAAGACAAACAAAATATGAAGATTTTATATTTATTTTAGTTTAAAAATATATTTCGCTGTTTTATGGGAGTAGTTTCTGATTATATGTGTTGTATTGACTGTTAAACATTATAGCTGCTAATGCAGTAACTACAGTTGATTTATTGGCAGATTTAGACTTAAAATTATTTTTATTTCAAGCATTTTCTTGATAGAATATGAGACACAAAATGACAAATTATGGTTGGACTAGTAGAGATGAAAGCACCAAAAAGCCTAAACAATGGGGCATGTTTCAGAAATAATTAGTAATTGCCCCATGTAAATATTAAAAAGGTATTTTAGACAACACCTTTAACAAAAGAAAATAAATATATCATCATATGTTTAATAATTTAGAAGGTTTAAATATCATTCTCCTACTGGCTTCTTCCATTTAAAAGATAAATATGTTTAGAAAATAGAAAACATACTACATGATTTTTAATAAAAACATTACCTGATCGGATGCCGTAAAAATACCAGGTTTTTCCACCTTTGTGCATTTGAGTTTGTTCACTTTGTTTGTTCAAAATAAAACTGGTATTTACGATATGAGCAGTAAACTAGTTCATCATTAAATAACCATAAACCTCAAAGTATAATCTACATATCACATATCCCTGATCAAATGCTCAAATATTGTAAATTAAGGAGGAAATTTTAACATATTTTTACAATTCAATGAGTTTCAGCTGGACGTCTGAAGAGCATCCAGAGCTGCAGTTCCCAATATTGGCCAGCAGGGGGCGACCTGTTACAGCTCATGACAACATCACTCATTGCAGAGACAATAAAACATTATTTACAGAACAATTTCAGACAGTTTGCAAACTTGCTTGTCAATCCATGCTTAATATCACAAGTCAAATATCAATATCTACAGTTTGTCTGTTTTCATCCACACATTAGTCCAGTTTTATATGGCAGGTCAAGTTATTCTCACTCCCCACACTCATGTTCTTAGGGAAAAGAGAAAAAAATTGAAATAGATGTAGTAAAACTCAATATTAAACATCTTCAGCTTTTAATAACAAACCTTTCCATCGATGTGTCGTGTTCTTAGACGCTGGGAATTTCGCAAATCCTACAACCATCAGGTCACAGTGGTCTGGTTTAAGCTACTGTCCTCTCCAGGTAGCCATATTTGGTCCCTAGTGAAAAATGCAGCAGCAGACGTGGTTTAACCTGACGGGACCGGTACAGAGTAGGATTAGGGCCACTGAAATAAAAATATATATATTTCAGAGGGGAAAAATCTAAAATTTGAGACCAAAATCAGAATTGTGTAAATAAAAGTCAAACTTTCAGTTTCCTTAGTCGTCTTCTGTGGAGTTGGATTTTACTGTGACACGTTTCTTCAGAGACGAAGAGATGAAATTATTTTGAGACACTTCTACCTATGTCATTTAAGTGTTTCATAGTGGCTTTTATTAAATGTTCACTTCATATTTATGAGAGTATTAGGCTACGGTAAGGAAATAAAAATGAATAAAATCATTAAATTTGACAATTTTTGTACCACTTATTTAAGGTTTTTGATCAGCCTTCACACAGCGCTGTTGAGGCTGGAGGTGTGGGAAAGGTTTGAAGTTAAAGTTCAGTAGTTTCCATTTTATGATTACTGATGTAAACTTTAATACTATTCTCCAAGATATTTTCTGCACAGTGAGAATGTCTTCTAGCCGTTTGGCTTTTACTATTCAAGGCTCGATCCTCATGTCATAAAAATCGGTGCCTGGTGGAACGAAAATGAAAACATGAATTCTGTACAATAATTCCAATCATCTGTAATAATCTACAACCAATCAGATTTGTTTCTTTTTTATGACATGATGTGTAGTGTCTGAGACCCAACAGCACCTCGAGGAGGATGGGAAGAACCCAACCTGATGTTTCAGGAAAACATAGAGGTGAGTCTGCATGTGACATCAGAGGTTTGTATCCAGGCCACACGGGAAGGAGGAATGAGCTCCTACTGTTTGATATTCTTTGGCACCTCCAGGCCGGTCAGTAAGGTCACCTGGAGGGACGAAAACAAATAAAAACACTCAGCAAGTGGACACTCAGCTACTGTTAGCAGTAGTTTTGGCTCTTAAATCAAGTTCTAGTTGTTCCCAGAGTCTGAAGACAGTTTCAGAACCTGGTCTCGTTGCAAAAGAGCATCAGTCTTTTTAAAGAGTACTGATCCAGACAATGTTAGTAAGTCCTCAGAAAACGTTCCAGGCACCAAAAGCAATAACACACACCGACCTGAACGTTTCTGTTAAGGCTGACAGCAGGAACAAAAACGCCGTCCAGGTTCTCGAAGGCTGTTGGTCCATGCTGCTCCTTATTTATGAAGAAGGTCAGGGTGCGTTTGATCAGGTCCAGCAGGATGCCCACGGTGGAGCCCTTCATGATGCCCCCCTCCGCTCTGCCAGCACAAACACAGGCCACGTTGAAACGAGGTGGAACAGTGAAGAAAAGGTGAGCATTTCTAGTTCTTCGATTCTAGCTGCTTCACAGCACAGTGTGAGCTTTTCTCCCATTGACTTGGATTCCTCTGGTAGAATTTTAACTGGGCCAATCAGAGAACAGAAGGAGAACCTGTGACATTGATTTTCTGCTGAGTTTTAGAGTTGCAGTCTTCCCGCAGTTTTACCGGTGGAAGGGAAGGAAGTGAACAAATTAAAATGAACAGTCGTCTTCTTTGGATGATTGTTTAAAGCTTCATAGCATCAAACTGGCGCATTATGTAGGTCGTGGCCAAACTTAGCGATTGGGTAAGGTTGAAAGGATTTTGTAAAATCAACTTGTCTGAGTTTTACATCATGTTATAAAGTTATTTCCTTATAAAACACACCTGGAGTGTTGCCCTGATTCTTTTGCACATGTTTGAGAAATCCTTTAATCTCCATGGCAACCATTCAGCAGTGCAAGAAAAACGCTCGGGTGGACCTCGCCCCGCCTTCGAGGAGTTAGGTCCTCCTCGGTTCTGCAGCTTCCAAACTGCCAGGCCTTCGCCTCACAAAGGTTTTTCTTTTTTGGCAATAAGTAACATTTTTTTGGAGTCTGGCAAACAATCAAAACCCTCCTGATTGTTGAGTCAGCAGTGAGTGACCCACAGTACTACCCTACCTGGTTTAAGGAAGGACAATAGGTCAGCATAATCAAATGGCCCAACCTGCTGTGCTTCTCTACTGGTGGTGACGGTGAACTCCTACCTGTTGGTGTGGGAGTTGTTATGCATGAACCAGGACCGGTTGTTGTCCACATACATGGCCCAGGCCTTGTCGTCCTTCCCCAGCATAATTTCTTTCATGGTATTGATCCTCGCCACGCCAAACGCAGGGTCCGGGTGGTTGTCATAGCGATCAATAGTGACTTCCCAATAGTGAGTTCCCTGAAATGTGGAAGAATTGTGGAAACTTTCATTTGTTTCCACTAAGGATGTGAGCAAAACTTTGCATTTCATTCCAATTACTTCCTGTCGTTGTCTTCTTTGTTATTTCTGTCAGTAGCAACATCTGGTTGTTGATCACATGACTTGTGTGACGTGAAAACAAAGTGTTTTTATTACGGTTTTGCAAAATTAACCAATTTCATACAGGTAAAAAAAAAAACACCTCATCCTAGCGCCAAAACGTTTAATGAAAAAACAAGAGTCCTTTTGAATTTCCATGTTTTTATTTAGCAAATTTATTTTCAAAATATAAAATTTCACAATTATATAGTCAATGAAAACACAGCTACTTAATATAATGATCTGGACAGAGAAAATATAGAATCTATAACCACCCTTACCTTTGAGAACGCAGCCGTGCCCAGAACCACGCGGTCGTCGTAGCTGCTACATGTAGCCGTCTGGTTCTCATTAGACAGAACGATGTCACGATGAGCCGAGGTGGGGTCAAAGGTGAACCAAGCCACTGTAAAGACAACAATAAACTTACCCAGGTTAAATATGTGTGTAATTAAAAATAAATATGTAACTAATTAGCATTCACTTTAGTGCTTTCTATATGTTTCTTGGCAAATTACATCAAATGAATCCAGCTGACCCATCGTTGAGCTGGAGACATTTGATAAGTTCAGTTAAATCTTTAATACAATCATAAATTTAGTGCAACAAATTCATTATGTAAAGCAGGGATGTCATAGTCATTTTCATTTTCTCCAAATCAACATTATGAATATTGTTGAAGGGTCAGCTGTACCAGAATGTTTGATAAAACCCCTTAACAAACTGTTAAAATATTACTTAATAGCTGCTTCTGTATTTGATAAGTTCCTCTTAAAATTGAATTATACTAAACATCTTTTCACACTGACCAGTCGCGCCAGGATTTTTGGATTTTAAACCCACGGTTTCTGACCATTTTTGCAATAAATTTGCTGTAAACTCTACGTCATGTTTTTATAAACAGAAAATTCACACAAACAAAAGCCAAACTGTTTGTGCAGAAGTGAGTTATTTACCGTCAGAAGTCTTGAGCACCACCGTCTTGCTGTACGGTCCGACTCCCACGGCGTTGTAGGCTTTCACCCTGGCGTTGTAGGCGCTGTTGAAGTGCAGGCCGTCCACCGTGCAGACCGTCTCCTTCCCCACGTACACCTCCTGAGGTCGACATGTCTTGGAATCATTACTAATGCCGTTACAGGGAGGTAAACACAGCTTATGCTCTGTGCATAATACAGGAGCAAAGAGGGCGAGAAATGTTGGTTCACCCATGATGTAATTAATCACTTTTCTGATTCTAGAGCAAAGCAGCTTTTTCATTATTAATATCAAAAGCTACAACAGAAAATTTGACACTTATTGCTGTATTTCTGTTAGATTTATTGCTCTTTATATCAATAATCTAGACAAAATTATCAGCTTTCATAAATTTTCGTTAAGTACATTAAGTTGGTCACTTAACGTAATTAGAAATAAATTTATTTCTAATTACCATGATGCTGGAAAAAACACAACTACTTCTTTGTTTTTATTCACTAATAATCAACATTTCAACTCTGCGTACTTTTCGCACCTTCCATGTTACACTCGTTATGCTTCACTTCAAATCTACAGGCTCGTCCGCCTGCTTCCTGTTCATATAAATCACAATATCATCTGCATAGAGTATAATTCAAAATCTGTTTAAACTTTTTGTTTTTCATTTTGTTGTGTCTTTTTTCAGATAGTTTTATTTAAAAAAGTGAAATAGTCTTTTGTTTTCGATTACGGAACAGAATTAGGGCCAAATAATGTATATTCAAAATAAATCATAGAATTTCAACTTTAATATCCAAAGTCTGACTTTGGCCTCAGATTTCCAGCTTTAATCTGAGAACAAAGTAAGAATACCAACCTTAATTCTTGGATTAAATTATGACTTAGTAGAATAATGACTCTGATCCCAAAATTCTGACTTTAAAGTCAGAAATCACAGAATAATCTGAAAAGAAAGTCAGAATTCTGACAATGTTCTCAAAATTCTTAAATTATATTCACAATTCCAAATTTATTCTAAGAATTCTGAAATTAAATTCAGAATTCTGATTTAATCTCAGAATACTGACTTTGATCTCAAAATTCTGATTTTATTCTTATAATTTTGAGATTAAATTCAGAATTGTTGTTTTAATTGAACTCACAATGCTAATTTTAACATCAGAAATGTCAGTATGCTGAGTAAAATCTCAAAATTCTGACTTTTTCCTCAGAATTCTGACTTTAATCAGCCATAAAATGAAAATAAATCCAGCATGTTCCTCCAGAAAGTTATTTCTCCTCCTGCATAATTCACATCTCTGCCATTGAAGCTTGTTGCTCCCCAGATGCTCGTCTGCATTGATTAATTTATTTTTTATGCAGTGGCCTTTACTTTCCTCCAGGCCTTTATTTTTGTACCAGGCATGTGTAATAACTAACCCTGTATTGCCCTCCATTCCCATCGTCCAGCTCCAGGATGTAGCCCTCAATGGGGCAACTAGCAGGCGCAGTTACCCTCCAGGCCAGGGTGGCGCTGTTGTTCCTGGTGCAGCATTTCTCCAGCTGTAGTAGAGGCGCTGCTGGCACCGCGGGTCCTAAATCCACTGGGGAAAGACACATGGATGCAATATTAATCGAGACATAAAGCGATAGCGATGCAGAAAGCAAGGAACAAGGAAAGGGGGGGATGGGCAATCCAAGGATAAAAGCTGGATGAGGAAAAACGGAGGACGCTGGTTGTTGTTGTTTTAACAAGCTGAGGGAAGAAAACAGGAGCTTTAAAAAGAACCTAGTGGGAGCATAAAAATGCCTCAGAGGGGCAAAGAAATCCAGGTTCATTTAGAGGACAACAGCTGGAAATCACTGGAGACTTTAACTAGGACATTTAACACTCTGAAGGGAGGCGGTGCAAGTGGTGAACGGGTTAGACTGACACAAGCTCTGACTTCAGGGCCACATATCACTAGATCCAGGTGGTAAATCTGCACAAAATAAAGATTATATTGGCTGAATTAATATTTTACCACGCAGGATTAGGGCCGTCATAAATAGAAAAGTAAGCCAGTAGTTTTTAGATTGATCCTAAACGAGGGCATTTCTGAGCTTGAAAAGTTAAAAATTTGCCAGAAAAACTCAGAAGTTTTGAGATTAATCTCAAAAACTTTAGAGAAAAAAAAGTTTGAAAAGTAAAACCATTTGGCAGAAAAAAATCAATATATTTCAAATTAATCTGAGAAATACTCTGAAAAAAAAACAAGAAAATATCTCAGTTTGAAACATCCAAAATTTGCAAATAAATAATTTGGAAACTTAATCTCAGAAGTTTTTAACATTCAAAATTAAAAAATTTAACATTTCCAACTTCCTTGTTTTTTTCTGGAAAATTTCTCAATTTATTGGCAAAGGTTTTCTATCTACAACGTCCCTATCATTTCTTTCAGGGATTTGAATACGTCCACAAAACAGAACTAAATTATATTTAGTCAGAAGTATATCAGTCTAACCGCGGTGCTGTGAGAAAACTGGTGCTGAAAAGGAGAACAAAAAAAACAAAATGCAGATTTGAGTCATAAAACAGTTTTTGTGAGTATTTATCTTGAAACAGTTGTGAAGACACAAGGGAAAGGCAGCAGTCATGACAGCACGGGAATCACAGGAGGATTTTAAATCAGAATAATAATTTTTCATCTTATTTCTTCCAGTCGCAGCAGAATGTTCTCCTTCCAGTCACTCTGTTCTTTCCTCCAAGCTCAATATTTGTTTTATAAAAGACTCCAACTGAGCTTCAGTCTGGATTTCAGCACCATGGCTGAATAAAAGGTCTTATATAACCCTGAATATGTGTGACTAAATATAAACCAGTGACTGTTTAAAACAAAAAGGTTCATCTTTTTACTACTAATTCTATTACTGAAGAGCCAAAACAGTAAAAAGATTTATAATTCTGTAAATCCGAAGCGTTTTGTAGGTCAAAACAACTCAACCTTAAAACAAGTAAATAAAGTAGCCCGCTCATTTTTGTTTCTATTAATATTGTACATTTTTAGAAATGGATATTTATTGTAAATAAAAACTTGAAAGGGATTTTAGCAACTGTTTATTGTGGCTATAGAAGATAGAAAAGAAGAAGAAAAAAGGCAAATTTCCACCAAAAAACTAACATTTGTAATTAGTGTCAGAAATTTTCTAGAAAAAAAAGTTAGTTTTGAAAGCCAAAGAATGTAAAACTTAAAATTTTCTGTTTTTTAAAGAGACATTTCCAAAAAACTTTTTGCAAAAAATAAAAAATTTATCATTTTATTTAATATATTTATACTGATGCTTTTCATTGTCATTTATTTTATTACTAATGGAGCCTTGAAATGAAATTTTGCTCAAATGTGCATTTTAAATGTACAATTGAATAACAATAAAGTCTGTGCATGTCTAAATACGCTCCTTTTTTAGGGCGGGTGACTTTCTTTCAGAGTGAAGAAAGAATAATAGCTGGTATCAGTAAAAGTCTTTGGATAAAGATGGTTTTATCTTTTGTTAGATAAAGGTATAAGAAGGTGAATAATTTGTAAGAAACTTATGTTTAGAAATTTAAATTTTCCATCTACTTTTATGGGACAAATTTGTAGCATTTTTGCCACAAGTGGATGAATTTGGAAACTCTTGTTTCAGGCAAAAATATATAAAAACTCTTGATATACATTGATGTAAAGATTTAATATCATGCAATAAATTTAGCACAATTCTGTAGAGGTGATATAAAAACATTAACCATGCAGAGAGACGCTGCTGGACAAAAAGGAGAAGTGAGTTTCCAGCTGACATGACGGTGCAGAGGAATGAGGCAGGAATGACAAAATACATTAAAAATGGAAACAAAGGTTCACTGAGAGGGTTGTTTTTTTTTTCTGAAATACCTCCGGGGCTCTCTGCCTCCATCTCAGCCTCACCACTGTCTGCTGCTGCCTGCATTAGTTTCAAAAGCGGTTTCTCCTGCACATCTGGAAAGAGGACGTTGGTTTGGGGAGTTTCAACAGGAGAGCAAAGAGTGAAGAAGAAGTTCAACATGAGTTCAACAAGCGACGGAGCCGAGGCTGCGGGGAAATTATAAAAAATGCTTTATAAATGTTTTTAGTTTGAATTTATCATGGAGTTTTAGAGTCATACTGAGAATAAATAAACAATAAAATCAGGAGAAAGTCAAAACAATATGAGAATAAAGTCAAAATAAAATGAGAATAAAGTTATTGAGAGGCTAATACTTCAACTGAAGTTCTTGTAATGCTTTGACAAGAATAAAGTCAAAGCATTACAAAACAAACACAAATTTAAAGTCAAAATAATATGAAAATAAAGTCAAAATATTATGAGAATAAAGTCGTAGTATTACGAGAATAAGTCAAACATGTTTGATTTTTCAAACTCAGAAATTTTTACGTTTGTTTTCAAATATTTCTTGGATTAATCTCAAAAGTTCTGAGACTTATTGCAAGAAATTCACTCCTTTTTTGCTTCCATCTTCGACTGCTCAAACACACCATCACATCTAATGAATGGAGATTACTTAGTAAAAAGTGGATTTTGTTGTTGCAGGTCAGACATAGTAAATGATCATGACAGTTTAATTTTAATGTTACTTTTTCTTTTGTTTCCTTAAGGTCAATTTTTTAAAAACAATGTTGACGTTTCAAAATGTGCTCTTCACTTCAGAGTTTTTCTTCAGCAAAGTAAAAACCAGAAAAATCAGCAGAATTTTTCCACATCAAACATTTAATCATTTTTATGATAATCGCAGAGAAAGACTCCCACACTCTGTCGTTGCTTTGAATGTCAAAGACTGAAACGCCAAATAAATCTGATCGGCCATCTTTTAACTCTGCAGCTTTGTTCTGGATGATCAGTGAGATGCGAATGTGGGGAAATGAGGCGGCGAGTTTCGTGTCACCAGCCTGGAAGAACAAAGGAGGCGTGATCAAAGCTGCAGCCCAGATTACACAAACGCTGCTAAAGTGCAGCTCAGCTTCAAGAACCTGCACATTTATGAGTCTAATTATATTTTTATATGCATTTAAAGTAACGTAACAGTGTTTGAATCAATGCATATCATTAAGTTTTTATTTTATTCACCATTAAATGCCTCGTACCACAGAGAGATAGACGTGTAACTCAACTTTAATAGTAAAAACAAACAAAAACTAACTAATGGGACAGTGAAGCCGTGTAGAAAACAAAATATGAAAATAGATGCAACCGAGTGAATCATTTGACGTTATTTCAGTTGCAAAACTATTCAGATTCAAAACAATTTTTCAGGTTGAAATCTCTTTTTTTCCTGTTTGACATTTCTTAGCTGAAAATCTGTTTTTCAGTTTCAAAGCATTTTTTTTTCATTTACATTTTTTTATTTCAGTTCTTTGTTTTTCAATTTCAAAATAACTTTTCAGTTTCAAAGATTTTTTTACAGTGTCAATTGTTTTTCAGTTTCAGTTTGAAAATTTATCATTCAGATTTTTTTTTTTTCACATTTGTTTTAGTTTAATATTTTCCGGTTTCAACCTTTTTTTTCAGTTTTAAAATATTTTCTTCAGGTTAAAATTTTTATATTTAGCTGTAATTGTTTTTCTAAACTTTTTTCAGTTTTTTTTTTTTTAATTTCAATTTGTTTTTGAGTTTTAATAAAAACCTTCCAGTTTCAAATCCTTTTTATTTTCATTTTTTTCATCTTTTGACCAAACTTTTTGGCCCCACTGTAGCTCCATAGCAGAGTTTTTGCTGATCAGGTGTGCTCACCTTTGCCCTGGCAGAAGTCCAGCTGCAGGATGGTCTGCATCAGCGAGTCGGTGTTCAGGCTGAGGTCAAAGTCGGGGCCGACCTTTGGCTCCAGGGCCCCTTTCACCCACTGGTCCTGGGACGACGTCACCCGCTTGATCAGGGCGTCCGAGATCTAAGCAACCAAATTAAAACGCAGACCGACGTTTGAAACACAAACGCTGAATAATTTGAAACAAACGCTCAGCTGCCTTCAAAAGGACAGAAACTGGAGCAAAATGTTTGATAATTTACTACTGCAGGAGATGAAAAATAAACAAATGAATCACATTAGAACGTGGATTTAAAACATTTACCCTTTAGCTTTTTTTTTTCTGGTTCAGAATGGTTTATTCTCCACAGCGTGAATGAAGAGTTTAGACATCACTATTGATGACAAGAACCTCATCAATATATTATAAAATATTCAGGAGAAACGGAGAGCTTGGGATTTGAAGCATAGTCATTCAAACTCAAAAGCAGATAATGTTTGGTATCCATTTCATATTTAACTGGAGTAGATTTTAAATTAGATACAATTAAACACTAATTTGTGTAATTTTAGTGTTTTATTTTGGGTATTTGTCCCTTTTATTCAGTTACAATAAATAAACTCTTAAACTATATGATTTACTTTACCTGTTGTGTGACATAGATATACATTAGTTATGATTGTAGTTAACTTTTTAAGTAAATTTTTCTGTATTTAATTCTGTCAACACCTTTAAAATGGTAAAATGTTTATTATGCATTTAAATGACATTTAGTGCAAATTTATAAAACGATAAAGCAAATATGCTACATTATTGCTTTATAATGTAACGATAATGTGACATCATCAGACGTCATGAAAACACTGAAAATATCAAATATAAGAAAGTCAGCCACATCCATCCATCCATCCATCCATCCATCCATCCATCCATCTCTTCTCCCTACCTGCAGGAAGCCACTGGGGTCGTTCTCCTTCAGGACCTCCAGGCAGTACTCCATCATGCCGGTGGTCTGCCTCAGCTTCATGGTGCAGTGGGTGATCTGGTCTCGCACCACCTGGCGAACATCAAACTCATCAGGATTCGACTCTGTTTGCTCTAAAAATGCAACGTTTATGTTGCCAGTCAACAGTTTCCACTTCAAGATGGCAGCGTGGCCTTTAATGCAAAACTGGAGGTCAAATCTCCAGGGTCATTTTCATCCTGGTAGGGGCAGAAATGCCTCTGTGTCTCAGGTGTTTGTGTTTTTAGAGGTCACTGGTTCTGTTTTGTGCTTTTTCACCTCAATTCTTCTGTTTTCAGATCACAGATTAGTTACGGCTGCATCTGCAGATAACTGTTAAGCTACAGCTGACTGAACCTGTTCTCAGGCATCGTGTTGGCAAACAAAAGCCTGGGATGAGAAAAAGGAACCTGGCATGATGCGGGCGTCATACAGACGAGATAAATCTGATTTTAATCACAGAATTATAATTTTTTTTTCCCCCTTTTTTTCCCCCTCAAAATTCAAATATTAATCTTCCAAGATTAATCTTCTCAAATTTTGTGAAATTTGAGAAGATTTCACAAATATAGATTTCAGAAAAGTCAAAATTTTGAGATAAAAGTCAGTATTCTGAAAAAAATCTATATTTTGAGACAAAATCTGAATTTGAAAAAAAAAAATTCTAAATTTGAGATTAAATTCGAATTCTGAGAAAAGTCAGGATGTTTAGATTGAAGTACTAATTACTTCAGTAATTAGTTGTGATAATTATTTTTTCCTCTAATTATTAAGTAAAAATGTCTGAATTCTGGGGGTTGGGAGAGAAGGAAAAAAAAAATCAAAATTTTGAGATTAAATCCGAATTCCACAGAAAAAGTCAGAATTTGTACATTAAAGTACAAATACTGAGAAAAAAGTCTGAATTCTGATTAAAAAATAAAAACATTTTGAGATTAAACTCAAAATTCTTTGGAAAAAAACAGGCAGAATATTTTGGTAAAAGTCAGAATTAGTTTTTTTGGTGGTCCTAATCAGCCAACAAATCGACACCAGCAGGACTTTAACTATCCCACCAAAACACAAAGATGTCTGACTGCAGAAAATACCTCTAGAAGTCTCTGTGTGTCTTTCCTTATGCTGCGTTGCATCTGGGTTGAGACAGAAAACATCTTGTGACTCTCAGATAATTGAACCAGGGAGCGCCTGGACGAGCCTGAGTTAATTAGACGGAGTCTTTGTGATTAGTCGCCTCGTTTGTTGGAGGATTAACGATATCCAGGTTAATTATTCACCTGTCAACAATGTTCTGGGCTGAAATATGAAGAGCATGAAGAGTTACAATCAACACCAGATACTCTGAGCATTTGGCTTTTTATTTCTAGATTTTTAACACTTGAATGGCTTGATATTTACCTTGTTTATGTTCTTTGGTCTTGCCATACTAATTGAGTTCTCTCTGTCCATTGTGTTACAAAGGTATTGCCATATTAATTTATTCTTTAGTTGTTTTTTTCATTTGTGAACTTTAAAGTGCATTTTTCTTAGATTATTTTCACAGTTGTTTCAATAATTGCTAAAATCTCTTCCAAGGAATTTAAAAATATTATTTTTCTTTTTTAAGAAAACTGGAAAAAATTTATATCTAAAAGCCAGAGTCTGATTGTCTTTAATCATCCTCAAAAATCACATTTAAGAAAAATTTTGAAGGATTACAACTCAAACTGAACAGTCAGTGTAAATATTAAGTTAAACTAATCAAAAGGCATTTTGAACCGAATTGTACAGCACTTTAAACGAAAGACCTTTCATTATTTCATTCACCATCTAGATAATTGCAACAATATCCTTGTGCTTGATCTCACTTGATTTTGATGAATGGGTCATTAAGAGGTTCCTGCAGAATTAATTAAACTGACTGCATGAAGAGCCTCGGAGCAGCTAAAGGCACTGAGGCGGAAAAACTCTGCTCTAAATACAGACGCAAACATTATTTCACAATTAAAAGTAGATGTGATCAATGTTTGTCAGATAACATTATGCATAATTTTATAGAAAATTTTCTAAACTTTTATAGTCTGGCTTTAAAAATCTGTGCTTTTTATATGATTTGGCAGATTTTGCTAAAAAGACAATCTGACATTTTAAATAACAAATGGACCTGCAATGTGAAGCATTTCACATAAATAAATGGGAAAACTGATGGAGATAATTACATGGAGGAACATGGAAATGGTTTTCTATGAAAGACAAAATAAAAATAAGCTGCATTTAGGACAAATTTTATCACAAATCACAAAAAGAGTTTGCAAAAACAGGAAAACCTGTGACAGCGCATTAGGGCCAATTTACACAAAACACAAAAAGAAGAAATTTTCACAAGCAAACTCCCATAAATATTCTAGAAAAAATAAATAAATTCTGAGCTTGAGAAGTTTACAATTTGGTAGAAAAAAAAACTTTGAAATTTGAAAAAAAAAAAATCTTGGAAATTTCTTAGAAAAAAATTAATTCAGTCAAAAATGTCAGAATTATGTGGAAAAAAATATTCTACAAAATACAAGTTTCTTGAAAAAAAAAGTGTAGCCTGATGAAAAACATCTAAAATCTGCAAAAAGAAAAAATTATTTTGAGAAAAAGAAAATCTGAATTCTCATTTTAAAGTCAGAATTTATTTGAAATTTTGAATTTGGAAGAAAAAAAAGTCACTCGTTTTCTAAAGGAAAAGGAAAGAGGTATGTAGTCGGTAAACATCTTCAAACATGCCAAACATATTACTAAGATTTAATCCTGCTTGTGAGTGTTACCTTAAAAGTATTTGCTTTTTCAGAATAATTAAAATTCATAAAATTTACCAAAATGTAGTTTTTAAATCTTCTGGGCTTTAGTGAACTTCTTTGTTACAAACTCTTGTAGATCAGAATAAAGTCCATAAATCACAAGGTGTAATTCAACATCTTGAAACATGAACCTCTACAGGTGCCTCACATTCTTTCTCTGTCACACACTGAGAGTCTGCGTGGGTCAGTGGGTCTCACCTTCAGCTTGTACTCCTTCTCCTTGGTGACTTTGGTGAGCAGCTTGGCTTTCTGTCTCGTCAGCGCCTCGATCAGCGAGTCACACTGAGCCACAAGGCAGGCTTCAAACTCCACTCCGTTCTCCTAAAGGAAACACACATCATGCTAGTCGCGTTTAGCTCAGTGCGATTTATTTTCCTTTGAGATGCTTCTGAATGATCAGAGGTGAAAATAGGCTCTGCTGGTGTGAATGTGTTTACCCACAAGCTCAGAGATGCTTTATGTTTGTCATTAAAATGTAAATTTATCATCTCGGTTGCACAAACATGAACACACGGCGGTGATTATTCCAGCGTTGATGAAAATATAATGACTTCTTCGGGTTCAGAGGCTGCACTCTGGTCGAACCATCCCCCACCTCTCAATATGCAGCAGAGGAAGAAAAGATATCATCTGTCAGCTGCAGTTCTGCGTTTGAGCTTCGATAGTTAAACATTTCCTGACAGCACGCAATTTTTTCTCCGGGTCGGAGCAGCAAGCAGCTGGATTACAGGAACATGCGACAACAAACATCGATTTATTTTATTGGATTCTTATGTGGAACAAGGGGACAAAGCAGCAGGGACATACAACAGAGTATGAGCCAAGAAAAAACAAACAAAAAAAAGATCAAATTACCAAACTTATGTTATAAAATTATGAGAATAAAGTCGTATTATTATGAGAACTGTGGCATGAAAAAGTAGCCTTTATTCTGGTAATAATATGACTTTAATCTCGTAATATTATTAAATTATTCTCATTATTATGTCTTTATTTTCATAATTTAATGATTCTGATTTATTCTTATCTAATTAGTTTTTTCCATTGTATGAATCTGTGAATAAAATATTTATACAAAATAAGAATCTCAAAAGTTTATTTAGCATATTAATAAAACCCAGTGAAGAGAATTTTCTTCAGAACAAACCCAATTAGTTAACTTTCAGGTCCTTTCTGTAGCGCATGAATACATAATTTTATTTTAAAAAATAATCTAACCATCCAGAGATGAAAATCGTATTTTTCGTTAGGAGGGGCTCCCTCAGCACTGAGCTCAGATCTTTAACAGGATCGTCTTTATTTCATCCGCATTCAGGCCATGCAAACAAAACTTTTTCTTTTTTTTACTTAAATTCAATCCTCCTGGTTTTATTTTAAGAGTCTTAATTCCTGCACATGCTGGAGGACATGCTGGCGTCCGTGTGTGCGTGAGCGGCAGATGCTGCAAGTGAAGATCAGCTGCAGAGTAAACCAGTCTGCAGGGAAAACACACACACTCACACACACGCGCGCGCACACACACACACTCTCTGCATTTATCGTTTGTTGTCTGGTTCGTTGATCCACTGGTTTTATTTCCCTTCTACTAAAAAAGACCAAACGTTACTTTACGTCTGATTTATTTAGGCCTCTATGCTTCATAACAAGCAGGATTTTGAGAGAAAATATACTTAAACAAATATGTAAAGAGTGATAATTTTGGATTTTGTCGCAGGAAAAATGCAAATAAAAGAAACACAATCTGCTATTTAGAAAAAAGTGTTTAAAAAAGTATTTTCTTTCAGCTTCAAAATGAAAATCTGAATTTTATCTTATCTGCTTCTGTGTTTCCTTGTGAGAGTTTGACAAAAAGCTTTTCTTAAAGTCGCCTGCTGGGAGTTCAGCCGGCAAATTTTTCCTTCATGTTTTTGTTCTAAAGACAGCAACAACTTGTACTCACATTTTATCTCCACTTTGCTTCATCATTTGATGGGATAAATGCAAAACTATCAGACAGAAACCTATTTTATAGAAGTCAACTAACGACTATCATTATGAGGATAAGCGCCACTGAAAAAAACACTTTAATTCCAGAGTTCTGACTTTTCTTAGAAAGAAAATCAAAATTCCAACTTTAATCTCAGAACTTTGACTTAAATGCAGATGAGCATCAGAGCAGCGACTGGCTTTAATGACAGAGATGTGTGTCAAGGAGAGCAAAGTTTCTACAGAAAAATGCTGCATTTGAGTGATTTAATACATAAAAGATTGTTCTGAGAAAAAAAGTCAGAATTATGAAAAAAAAGTCAAACCTCTGAGATTAAATCTAAAATTCTGAGACTAAAGTAAAATTTTAATTCTCAGGAAAAGCACATCGTCCTAAACGCAGAAATTTTAGAATAATTTCACAAATCTGCGAGAAAAAACCTAGGAATTTCTGAGCTTGAAAGTGAAAAAACACTTTTTAAACTCAGAAAATTTCTAAACGATAATTATTTTTCACTTTGGAGGCTCAGACTTTTTTTCTAGAAAACTTCTGAAATTAATCTAAAAGTTTCTTTCCCAGCAAATTTACGACTTTTCAAAGTTCAAAATGTTCTTATTTTGTTCTAGAAAATTTCTGGTAGTAATCTCAAAATCTCTGATTTATTTTCCAGATTTAAAAAATCTATATCTGAGAAATTCTGTTGTCTTTTTCTAGAAATTTTCTAGAACTTTTCAAACTCAGAAATTTTGTGGGGGGGTTTCTGAACTATTTCTGAGGATCTTGAGGGAAATTTACTCTCTTTTGTTCTAACTATAATGGCCATAAAACAACTTCTTATAAAAAAAACTTTGAGTTTATTTGAAACAGCCATGTTGCCATTAAGATATTTTTTTATTTTTGAAATGCCGAATTGCAGTTTCATTGTTAAAGGAAACCGCTACTGGCGATCTGATGTCAGGTTTGTAATGTTCAATCTTGACGGTGATGTGTGTGGAAGTGCTTCAGCTCACCTGTATCTGCTGCAGCATGTTCTTGAGCTGAACCAGGAACTCTTTCGCCTCTTTTGCTTTGTCAGAGACGCCGTTCAGAGCCTGGGAGAGCTGGCACTGCACACAAACAGAACGGGTTTCACATTCGGGCAGACCTCTCCAAACGTCCAAAATAGAAATTTAGTTTCTAGTTTTTAGCAGTCTATAATTTGTAGAAAAGTAAAAACATTGTTGATCCAAAACATACACAGGCTCTTGCACAGTTGCTGTATTAAATGACAAGTATGTATTTTCCAAAACTTTTTGCTTGTTTGTGCTTGCTGTTTTTAGTAAAGCTGTTAAAAGAAGGAAAAAATTTAAAGAAATTAAGAACCTTTTATTTATTTCTAAACATCCCTCCATGTGCTTGCAGAGCCAAACAAAATTCTCTTGAGGGCCACAAATGGCCCCCGTGCCAGACTTTGGACATCCCTCCATTAGGCTGTAATGCATAGCTTGGACTGTTTTCTTTTCATCAATTTGATTTACTTTATATGACAGAGTATTAGGACCACATTAAGCACATAAAGAACTAAATTACAAAAAGAAAGTCATAATATTCAGAGAATAAAGATAAAATATTTTGAGAATTAATTAATAAAATTGCAAGAATAAAGTTGTACAAGAATAAAGTTCAAATAATGTGAAAATAAAGTCGTAGCATTACAGAAATAAAGTAATAACATTAACATTTTATTCTCATACTATTTCCACTTTCTTCTTGTAATGTTTTTTTTTCAATTGTTCTTAATATGGCCCTAATATGCTGTCGTAGCTAAATATGTATAAAATCTATAAAATAAAATTAAATATGCATTAAAACACACTTTGATCTTGCAAAAGACAAGAAATTAATTATTTCTAAACAAGCCTGCTATGAACATTGAGAATGAAAACAAGTAAAATAAATAAATCATTGCTCTGAGTAAAACTGTGCAACCAGTTCAACCAGTGATGCTTCTGTGCTGGTTATGTAATCAGACCCAGTTCTCCGGATCCTCGCCTGAAGCAAATTCCCTGGGAATTTCTTCCACGTGCCAAAAAAACATAAAAGTAAAGCTTTTGTCTCTGTAATATGGATTAAATTTAAAATCTCCATCAGATCATCATCTGCAGAGATTACAGGCTGGGAAATCCATGAAAACACAAAGCCATGTTTGCAAATTCACATTTAATGCAAATAATACTCTTGTAGAAATCAATAGAAATATATAAAACCCCACTCATATACTACATTTAGGATTATTAATTTCAAATACTTTTAATGGGATTTAGAAAAGAAAAATACATTAATCTTCAATAAATTGGCTTTGAAATAAACAAATCCTTTTTGTTCTTAAATAACACGCAAACCAAATACATCCTGATCATTTTGTGACATCAAATAAATTACAGATCTGTAAAGTAAATGCAGTTTAAGCTAATGTTGGAAGCTGAGCAGAAGCAACCAGCTAAAGTTCAGCATATCTGGGTCCTGCAGCAGCTGGATGAAATATTGATGCTCTGCTGCAGACATACAGGTTAACGAGCGCAGCGACAGATTCCATACCTCGAAAATAAATTTTATTAAGCTTAACAAACATGCATATCAAACAAAACTTGATGAACTTTACAAGGATTATATAAGATAAATCAACACAAAGTGACCCGTTACAGTAACTGCATTACTATGTTTATATTCATATTCTAAAACATAATTTCATAATTACGGTTTCCGTTAAAATCACATGTGAACAAGTTTGTTCATGTCACAAATAATTAAAAAAACATGCAACGCCATCGTCATTCAACTACTTCCTGTAGTCTTGTTCTTCATCATTTCTGCCAGTAGTAACATCCTGCTGTCTATCATGTGACTCATGAAATGCGAGTCGAATGCTCGCGGTTCTGCAAAATACATTAATATTCATACAGATGAAAAATCATATTGTTCTACCACAACAACTTTTTATCATAAAACATGAGTTTCTTTTGGAATTGCCGTGAATCCATTAAGAAAATTTATTTTCGGAATTCCAATTTGCATAATTTTATGTCCAAAGGAAACACATCTGGTGTTTGGATCAATATCTGCAAAAGAACTCTGCAAATTTCTGCAAAAAATTGGAAATTTCTGAGTTTTAACATTTTCCACTTTTAGAAGTTTCTTCCAGAAAATTTGAGATATAATTTTTTAAAATCTACAATTATAGAAAAATCTCCACATAAAAATCACAGATATTTTTAGATTAAATAAGGTAAACTTAAGTGTTGGTCAGAAATCCTACAGTACCTGAACGCCACATCCAAGGCTGCTGACGAAACATACACCCTATGAATGGATTGATTATACTGGAAGGGCAAACTGATTGCCATTTGTCACAGTGACACTTCAAAAATCCATATTAATATAAATAAATAAAATTATATGAGCGTTAGATAATGCTGAGCTGGCTTTTTGTTAAAAGATATTAAAAATCTGATTGAACTGAATGTTTTCTGGTTCATTTTTGGAAACACTAATATATGGCTAAATCTGGCACATCAAAAAATACTCCACCCTGACTGTAAACTTGTAGATTATTGGATTAATCAATAAATTGATGGATATTTTCTGTTCTTTACTGTCCACAGTTTTTGCTTGAAGCACTTCATCAGTGTCTGGAAACTGTAAAAAAAACAACAACAATCAAATCATCTAATTATTACAAATTGAATTTATCACTAGATTTTTTAAAGTGTCTTTTGTTGTGCAGATATTCATCCATCACTGGTAAATAGGAGGAGACAGGACAAAGAAGACTCACACTGTTACACACATGATGAATTTGGTCCTCTGAGGACACTCCCACCTGTTTCCCTGTTTCTGGATGCTGTTCTCACGAATGAGCTCAGACACAAAGACCCAGAAGGAAACAGAAACAGGGAAGACCCATTTCATCACGTTAAGATGTTAAGTCATAAATACAGTAACAATTTAATGGAGCAATGTGCAAATGATGAGAATTAATCCCTCTTAATCCCTTTTGCATTTGTATTCAACTTTGTAGCAATGACTGATCCTGAATCAAAAACTAATTATTTGTTGATAAATATCTGTTTTTGTACATTTATTTTTATTGCACTTTTGTTTTCATAGGCATGCTTTAAAGTTTCATTAATTTAAATAGCGTTACACTGTCCAAGTCGCCATTTTGTTTACGTTCTCCTAGCAAGATATTGTTTTCCAGCTCCATCCAGCGAGAACAGTATAAGTAAAGTTCAGTTGCTTTAATTTGAACCAGAGAAAATAGATACATTAGTTGACAACAGTTGAAATAGAAAGCAATAAATAAATAACAAGGGGAAAATGATAGTCGGGGAAAACCAAACGATGGAAGAGGAGAGATTTGGCCAAAAAACAGTGATGTTTGTGCTAATTGGAAATGGTAACTGGAAAGGAGAGTATTTGGTATAAAAAGCTCTAAATTTAAACTCAAGCTGATATTGGGATTAAAACATTTTCTCAAATGTATCAGAATGCTGTTAGAAAGAATTAAAAATGGTTCATTGTCACTTTATTTTTCAGTTTGCTTTGATTTCACGTTAGCTCCTGCTAATAGAGTTAGCTGCTGCTATAATATGAGTCATAACATTTAATGTCTCACTAAGATCAATAAAGTATTTTTGAATTTGAATTATAATGTTGCACCCAGACGCTAATAATGATTCTAACTTCTTAATTTCTCTGTTTATGCTATTGATTATTGATAAAACATTCAGCAACCTTCATTCTGATCAGAGCTGTGAAACTCATTCATTCAGTCCTGCGCTTGCTTTCATCTGAAATTAAATCTGCCTCTTTTCCGTAATCCCTGTCCTCATCTGCACAGCATCCGCTCCACCCCCGCTCTGACAGCCAGACTCTCCCACAGTGATCTCATCCAGGTCCAGTTTCCTCCGGAGGAGCGACATGTGGACCTGGAGGGACTCCTCACCCAGAGGCCATCTGGACTACCAAGATGCTAACAAGCAGATGATGGATGTACCACAAGAGGCATCTCCTCCTTTCCTATTTGTTCTGTTTCTGTATTTATTTAACTGCTGCTTTTCTTGTCAGGTCAAAGTTCTGTGTCAGCTCCCTCGTTCATTCACTGCTCTGCCATGTTTTATTCATTCATTGATTTTCTTCACCCACCACGTCTTTGGCAGGGGGATGTGGAGCTGAAAACAGTCCCAGCATGCATTGAGAAAAGACAGAAACGGCGGCAGATTGCACTCAGATCTTTGTTTGAAGAGATAAAGTCTGTTTTCTGTTTCCACCATAAAGCCAGCCACAGAAAGGATATGAATAAAAAACAAAAGAGCTAAGAAAGAATGTATGATGGTTCATAAAGGCCATTATAAATAGAAATATTTTGTAAAAATCTGGGGGGAAAAAACCTCAGAAAGTTTTAGATTAATCTCAGAAATTTTGAAAAAAAAACTTTTTCTGAATTGTGTGTTTGAAAAATAGAAAATGTTCAACTTTTGAAATTCAGAAATTTTCTTGGTAATAGAGTAATATGTAATGTTTGATTTTATTTCTATACCAAAAATTTTTAGAACCTTATTAAAGTGCATCATGAAATATTTCAATTATCAGGAGATGTTACATTTAACATCTCTTACATTGGGCTACGTAAGAAAATTAAAAAATTGTAACCAATTAGTTTTTCCAAAGGATAAAAATAGTAAATAGTAGCCAACCAACTCTAAATTACTAGTAACTGATTTAGAAACCTGTGATGTGAGCAGAAAGGATCCAGAAAGGATCCAGAACTCTGAATGAAACAGAGAAATTGCACAACAATTGGTCAAAGATTCACCTCACTGCATGCTGCAACCTTGTGTGACATCTTCCTGTCCAAAACATTAACAGCAGGAGTAACGCGCGCTGTGAACTCCTCTAAAAGACAATATCTGTGCAATCAGTAACACAAAAAAGCTCCAGCAAAACGTCCCACTCATCCTGAAGCGGGCGAGCTCACTGGATTATTGATTTCAGTAATTCATTCTGGAGTTTAGAGGGGACAGATGAGTGCAGCAGGGATTTTACAGTTTGATTTTAAACGCAGTGA